AGTATGATTAAAAATAGTATTTCTGAAGGGAAAGGTAATATCTCAAATCACTGAGGTTTGGGATTTTTACTTGTATTTGCTGTGTGTTTTGGGAGATGATGACAGAAAGGTTTGATGCTGTGCAGAAAGGTAGGACCATGGTATTTAACAGCTATCAGAGCTGTGCACAGAGAGGAAGCATTTGGTTCTCAGTGCTGCAGTAACAGGAGTGATTATAAAGAAATGATGTGTAAAATAGTTGTCTTTACTTTGCAGTTAACTTTTCCAGACTTTGAATGACCAGCTGAGGGAAAAATAATGTTGATTCCCAGAATGTATTTTGTTGTAGTTAATTGCCTAGTTACATTTTTTGCAGAGTTAAAAGTAATTCTTCTATCTTGTCTTGCATTTCTACAGTGGAAGTTTTTAGGAAATGTTCACATTTAATAGAAACCGTGGCACTTTTTCAGCATCTTGATATGAAGTCGTGATAGAGCACTTTGAAATTTTACTAAACACGGAAACTATTCTTGCAGTGAAATTGATTTAAAAAAAAAAAAGGTAAATTAATTGTTCAAAGTCACTTTGGGGCAATGGGAAGAAGCCTAGATTTGTTTCCTCTCCGAGGTTGTCAGCATGGTTAAGAAGCTGGAAAAAAAGGTCAAGATAACTGATGGTGCTTGTGTTATAGGTCTTCTGTTTATTGCCCAATGTGAAGTTGAACACAGGGTTTTACTGAGAGTCTGTATCTGCTTGCACATCTTGCTGTACTGGTTAAATATGTTACTATCTCAAGTGCTCATCGTTTTCAAAAAGCTGATGTAGCGCAACCCTGCATGGAGTTCTGCGAAATAAATTGTTTGAATGGGCTTGCATCAGGTTCAGGCAGAATCAGCCAGGCTAATTAAAACTGCTGAAACTAACCTGCCTGACCTTTCATGAAATGAACTGGGAAGCTCTTAGGTATGTGCTCGGCCAGCAGAACTGCAAGGCAAAAGCAAGTTGGTGCGGGAAGGGGGATGGGGATGGTGACATTTTGACTCGTGTGCGCTCAGAAACTGGTCTTTTGCATGTAGGAGTCCCTCTTGTTCTCCTGGACGAGACAGTCTCTCCCCAGTTTGTGTTTGTTCTTAGCAGTGCATGAATGTTTATAGGAAGCGACCCAGTGAATCATTAGAAATGTTCTGTGTACAGTGTCTCCTTAAACTGCAGGCTGGTGGTGCGCTGGAATGCGGGGATATCTTTGTGGCTGTTTCCTTCATCAGCCTGATTCTTTTGAAAGCATCTTATTCTGCTTGTATTTTCCATACTAGAGGTTTACACAAAAATGTTTATACTACAGCTTCAAACATGGACTGAAATGCTAGAAAACCTAAAGAATTTCTGTGGATTCCGTATATTAAGATCAGATGTGGGAATGTCACATCGAATATCTGTTCTACAAAACTCAGATGATTTTAGTGGAAAATAAGAATCTGAAATGGTATGTGCCTAGCAGCAAAATAAAAAAGCCGGGGGAAGGGAATGGACACAGAGAATTATATAATGGGCCAGAATTACACCTCGGTGGTTACAAGTCCCATTTCTCTGCTGTACTGACAGAGGAAGTAATTACTGCATTTATGTCTTTTTCAATGACGTGAAACTAGTTTCTGAAGCGAAGTGGAGTGTTTTTGAGGAGCCCGCAATGCGAGCAATGCAGTAATGCCTCTGGCTGGAATGGCCTGTGGGCTGAGGCAGTTTCAGCCGCAGGGCAGTTTGAACAAAAAAGTTTTTTAAAGTCTGTAACCACACTTTGTATATTTTTAATTTTTCAACAGTAATTAATCTGACAACTGAATCTTGGCTTTCACTGATTTTTTTATTATGCTAAAAGTTAGCCTAGATTATAAATAGCGTTAAGATTAGCAATCTGACTGAAGCTAATGGGGAAGTGCATAAGCAGAATATTGACTATATTGTTTTGCATAAGAAAGCTTATTTCATCTTGAGTCAAAACAAATGGATTTCCCGATTAAGGCTAATGGTGATTGAAGCAAAACTTAATTACTTTAATAAAAAGTTAAAACTCTGTAGATATTACCATGTTGACTTGTGCTCAGCAGACATTAAAGGGACATTGTTTAAATTAGTGTGTGGGCATGTGCGTGTCAGTGTGTTCGGAAGGGGAACACAACCTTTGTGTTTGGGAAACCACAGAAGATCAGTGACAGGGACCAGTATAATCTGCTTTAGGGCAGGAAGGCTTTGGCAGCCCTGGCCAAATGTGCCACATCGGCTGCAAAATGGTGAGGAACAACCTGTCCGTGACTCTCCTACCTCATCTGTCAGAAGTGCTAAAAACCCACCGGCCCTGTTGCAGGTTGCTGCTGGCCCCGGCTGGCTCAGGGCCCCGTGCGGTGAAGGGGGCTGGAGGGGCAGGAAGCCCCAGTAACCTTCAGAGCAGGTTGTACGCCCCATATGAGGTTTACATAAACTGTTGGTAACTGTTCCACGCTTGGGAAGAAAGCCTTTAACTTTGGAAATATGAATCGCTGGCAAATCCTAACTGAAAATGCTTGGTTTAAAATTCTGTGGCTGGCAGTTTCATGTCAGATGATGACATTTTGTTCCTGTCCAAGTCTGCTAAGAAAATAGTAGCAGGTGATCTTACATCGAAAGAGAGAACATTCTTCCATACAGATGTAACTGTATTCAGAAGAGAATGTTTCTGTGGAATACTCATGGTCTCTGGAAAGCTTATGAGAAGCTGGTATCTGAAGGAGAGAACTTGTGAAGAAAGGAGCACTTGTCTACTTAGTCGATACAAAGGCTTTTTTTTTTTTTTTTCCTACAGTATTGTAATTTGAGCTCTATCCTTCTCTTTAAAGAATGTTGTTCCTTGAAAATCCAAAGCTTTTTTGAGGTGTGTGAAGATTACTGGTCTCTTCTGTCTCCAGGTTGGCTTTCTCCTACACTAATTAGAGGCTGCTTTTCCAAACTGATGTCAAACTATTTCTTTCCTTTGTGTTTGTGTGGAATCCTCATTGTCTTACGTGGAAGCTGGAAGAACAATCCAAAAGTGTTCATGCTTTTCTAATGCAGTATCATTCTTCATCTGTGTGACATTGGTCTTAATTTATGTGAGACCATCTGTGAGCCTTGTAGTTCTTCCTGAACAAGGCTGGTTTTGTAAGGGCTGAAGATCGCTCCATTTCTTGTTGCAGTAGTGGCTCATTATTTCTTATTTTGTCACTTCAGAACGGATTATTAGGATAATGAGATAAATTAGGATACAGACTTCAGTTTACATTAACCAAACTTGTTAAGCTTTACAGTTTATAAAAGGTAGAGGATGTTGATTTAAAGATCATCGCCTACAATGTGCTGTGACAGTGTTTTTTAAACGCTGTTAAAAATGGATCCGAGAGAATGAAATTAATTTTTTTTATTTGTAATTATTTTATCTGAAAAGGCTGCTTACTGAAAGTGTTTTTAAATGTATAATGTTTCAGCTGTAATAATCTTTCATATGTGCCTGTTCTTAGTGGTAGAAGTAGAGAGGTCTACATCAGTTGCATTACAGTGTGGGGTAGAAGTATACTGGTGAAATTGCATTAGGATTCTGCCATGAGTGCTACCGTAGAGAATCTAAATGGCATTTAGTCAGGTTCACTTATGTTCACTTTATTATGTTCACTTTTGGAAACATACCTTTCTAGTTTGTCAGTTTTCTAGCACTTCAATCACCATACTGTTTGCTTTGGAGCAGCCCAAGTTAGGGGTTTTTTAATATCCTACTGCTTTTTTCAATTAGTAAGTAACACTGATTTTCTTTTTAAAAAAAACCTGCATTCCAGCATTCTCATTACATGCTTTTGGTTAGTTTTGTGTTCTTTGGATACGATGATGTCAGAGATTGTCAGTGTCTAAGCCTCAGAATAGTAATTTTCTTTTTTATGCTTTAGAAACTTCCACTGGAGTAATTTGACGTTCATCTTTCTTCTCTTATAGCCCTGTTCTCTGTTTCTCAAGCTGTTACACATTCATCCAGAAACTTTTTCTGGTACCTTAGAATGGTTAGTTCCCTGGTTTTTGGAAACTAGGTCTCACACACCTCTTGTTTTAATGCAGAGTGCTGGCAAACAGCTTGTGATGTTGTGGTCAAATTTTTTTGAGTTTCAAATCTGTTTGAAGTTGGTCTTCCAAACATGAGATTTGTGCTTTTTCTTTCTGTAAATTTGTGTCTGTTAAACTAATAGACCAGTGTAACAAAGCTGACCTAGTTCAAAGCTGGTTGAGTCCTCACACTGGCTCTGAGCTAGAACAGAGGCTGTGACCAATTATTTATTTATTTTTCCTGTCTCTCACCTGTCAGCAGTCAGTTCTTTAAACACTTAATCCTTTTGAATTAAGTATTTCAGCAAGTCTAGTATGAAACATTTGTGATGAAGAGCCAAAATGTTATATATGTGTTAATTGTTAGCAATTAATGACTATCCAAATAATTTGAAAATGACTAATTTTCAGGAGGTCAAAATTAAGATAGGTGATTCAGACTGACACTCCAATCTCAGCAGATGCCACTGTGTCAAAAAAGGTCAGCTGTTGAGTGAAGAGTGCAATTAACTCTTTTTTCCCTTTTCTGTACTTCCTCAAAATCTCTTTTTGAGGTAAAATTATTGCTTCTGACAAATGGGATTGTAGAATCATTCAAATGGAAGAGACCTCAGGTGTAGCCCAAGCTCCTGCTCGCAGCAGGATTAGCACTGAACTTGGTCAACATTGCCTAAAGCTTTGTCAAGTTGGATCTGTTTGTTTCTTATTTTTGTGATTAAGAAAAAGCAGTTAGTTGTCAACCTTTATTCCTGTATCGGAGATATCAATATTCATGGAAAGAAAAGCATTTAAACAATTAACCTTTTCTGAAATATGAAATTAATCTTTGAAAATACTCACTGATGCATTAATTTTATGAAATATGGGAAGCATATGATGCAACATACAAAGACTGTTGTATAACTGAGTATTTTTGGGTTTAGAACCTCGATGAATATGAAGACGACGAAGCAGGGCAGAAGGAGCGGAAGAAGGAGGATGCTATTACCCAACAGAATACGATACAAAATGAAAGTTCCAGTGCAGATACCTCTGGCTTATACTTAGTACAGGTGAGTTCTTAACACTTGCTCATTTTGATATTTTACTCTGTTTTAAAACTCATACTGCCTTCTTTGTACTCCTAATTAACAGTAGATTATAATCTGTATGGAAACAAACATGAATTTCAGGAGTTGTCACATTACTAAAAACAGACCATGAGGTTCCGTTCCCCAAACTCAACACATTGAGACCTGATTCTGACAACAGAATCCTCTATTTTTCTAGGGGCTATGAAGGTAGCAGTGTTGATGTTTTCCATAAAACTTACTATTTAATGAGAGGAAGAGAAATCTCGAGATTCAAGTGAAAATAGCTTTAGAATATTCAAGTAATGGGATGTAAACTTTTCAAATCAGGACCCAATTTCCTAATCTAATTTATTGCCAAGTAACAAACTTCTAAGTACTGATTCTGGGGATTCTCTTGAGGAAAACACCCTTTGCCTCTGTGAAACATCTTCTCCCTTTTTTTTTTGTTTGTTCTGCAGTCACCTCGCTACAGGTTACACGGTTACACTCAGTCCTGCAGCACCCCCCTACTGATAAGCGTTGCCAGTTATGCCCAGTACACCCCTTCTCCATGCTATACTACCTGTGGCAAGTGTTCTCTCTCTTTTCTTTTGTGCCTTTAGTCTCTTTGGCCGGTCTTGTTTGTCCTCCTCTTCTATTACCTAAGGACATGTGCAAACACAGGCCTGACTCCCTCTCTCTCTGCCTGTTGACTCTTAACAACAGTGGCAATAGCACATACGTAAGGAGGAGCAAATACCAACAGAGCAAGCACATGGTGGTAGTTCTCAAACCATCTATAACCGGAGAGGACATCACTGAATTTAGTGAGTCTGGATGCACTTTCTTTCTAAAATTTTTCCCAGTCTTTCATATGCTCGTGGATGTGTTTAACATTCAGAAGAGCCTGCGGCAAAGAGGTCTACAGCTTAATAACCTGGAATGTGAAGAACAGTCTCCTTTTGTTTAAGTTGAACCTGTCACTTGCCATCTGTTTCCATGTGATTTCACCAAGGTGTCCCAGTGGAAGACACTGGGAACAACCGCTTCCTCTTTCTGTGACCTCATGCTGCAGAGAGAGCACGGCCCCTCTCAGCTGCCTCTTCTCCAGGCTGAAGAATTCTGTTTTATTTGGTTGTTCCTTGTACAGGAGATACTCAGTAACATTCTGTACTTTTTCTGGTTTGACTATATTTTATTTGGGGTCAGGAAACAGAATGGGAGAGTTCAGTACAGCATGCTGTTGTAAAGTGGTTTAATGGAGTTTTTTGTTTCGTTCCCCGTTTCTTTCCTGACAATTCCTGGTATCTGCCCGTTTGTCTGCTGAGCACCGAGTTTACTGTTTTTGTTCCGTGTGTCTACTCTAACTTAACATTTTGGTGTTATCTGTGAGTGATAATAGCAAGCTTGAGATGGACACATATGTAAATTTAGAAGTATATTTAACTTTTTGTCTCACTTTGTGCTTATGTACACTAAATTTCTTCTCCTGTTTCACCTCCCAGCCACTCCTGATAGAGAAATTCTGCATGTTTTCACATTTGACCTTCATCTTCTCTGTTCTGAGTAGTGGACACCTCCTTCCTGAATACATTGAAAAGAACAGGTCCCAGAGCAAATTCCCATGGAACTTTTTGGATATTCCATCCACTGCAAAAGCTGCCCATCAGGGCCCACCATTATTTCGTATCTTTTCACCAGTGATTGATTCGTGGAAGGACATTAACTCCACATGCCAGTGTGGCTTAATTTCTTTAAGAGGCTTTGGGAAATGCCTTTTTGAAACTCAGTAGGCTGCCAACCAGCTTTCTCCTGTGGACATTTTTTGACTTAAAAAGCTGCACTAGATTAGTGAAGTGTCACTGTGTTACAAATGCCCTGGTGACTCTTTCACACTATATCATATTTACTCACTTACTCACTAATTGTTTTAGACTTAGTAGCAGCACTTTATTCAGTGTCAGTATCAAGCTTACTGGTCTACAGTTCTCTTGTCTGCTGTAGGATCTTCTTAAAAATAGTGATTATGTTAGTCACAGGTTAAAGGGGAGTTTAACGCTCAAGCAGTTAATAACTTCTCATTCTGGCAACTAGGTGGTTCTTTTTTCATTTTGTTAATTTTTTTTTTAATTTCTACCAGCACTTCTGTTTGAAACAGCCCCTTTGAATCTTCCATGAAGAAGTGCTCTGATGGGAGACCCTTACCATGCTTTTCCATGATGAACACCAACAGAAATATTTCTGCAGAGGAACTGTCTCCTCTGAGCACGCTGCTTATAACTTGATCTATTGTCTTTGCAGATACTTTGGCAGGATTCCTCATTCAGAAATGTTTTTATTCTTTTTTCAAGTTGTTTGTTAGACTCTTTGTTACTGTGTTCACTTTGTTTTTACTTTTTCAACAAATACTGTGAAAGTTGTCACTTTTAGTTTCCACTAGTGGTATTATTGCATAATGCTTTGGCTGTATTCCCATGCCCCTCTTTTTTTTTATCCATATTTTCTATTCTGCTTGACCAACAATCTCAGTTTCTATTTACCAGGCTGTCTGTATTAATTGTATCCTACACAGTTCCAAGTTTGTCACCTCCGTATTCAAGCAGGCACTACTTCTTTGTTGACAGAGCCCAGCAGGGGTGTCCTGTCACTGACAATACAGAAGAGAGTCCCAGGCCTCAGATCTGGCAAAGACCCAGGATGGCACATATACAGAACAGATGGAACCTTAGAAAGTTGTAGCTGCTCAGACTTAATCAGTTTATTACTGACACTGTCAGCTCGCTTTTTATTAGAAGACTTACAACTTGCCCAATTTGGACAGAATTTGACAGCAGTGTTATTTCAGCTTTGATGACTTAGTTTCCTTTTGATTCTACTCTGTGCAACAGTTAAGCCTAATTCTGTTCTTAAAAGTAGAATTTATGTTTTAGATCTAATAATTCAGTCAATTCTAGTTGCCACTGACCAATATCTATTCTAGTTCTACCCACTAAGCAGAATACATTTCTGTAGTTACGGATGTGTTCACTGGTTTGTCCATTCTGTTAAATCATTTTATGAAATTGGTAAATATAAATTTACCAATATAATTGGTAAATGATAATTTTACGGGAAACAAGACAGTCAATATTGATTTAATGTATGATGGATATGTATTTTGCTGAATAATGTTTTATTTCCAATCCTTAATCTGATCTTTCAGTTTTATTTTCACATTGTCAGTAGATGCTGTTACTCTTCTCATGGGCAAAATGCAGTTTTTGAAAACTCTGGCTGAATTTGAAGTCCTTGATCCAAAGCACAGAGATATGTGATTTGTTTAAGAATAGATGTAAAAGTATACCAGACCCGAGAGTATTTTTTCTGAAGCAGAACTATTTGGCTGAAATCACATTCTCAATTATTTTATGTTGGAAATACGGAAGATAATAGGTCTGGCAACATTTAAACATTGAAAAACAATTACAGTCATAACTTAACTTTAGCAAAAGATAGTGTGGAAAGCCCCACCTCACCAGATGAATCAACTAAATCCACTCCCAAACACAAAACAAGCATTACACCTGGCTCTTTGACTTCCTTGCTTGATTTGTCTCCTGTTTTTAACGCTGCCTTTCGGTGGTTCTGTGCCGTGGACTACTCACTGATGCATATGGGAATGCAGGCTAAGAGTAGTAAGTTATATGTGTTGAAGCTTAGAACTTTTATAATAAGCTAAACATTTGTAATGATAAGGGTAAACATAATTAAAGGTTACTACTTTGAAGTTACTAAAGTTACCGATTTAGGAATTAGTGAAGCCTAGCAATGATATAAATCTAGCTCTTGCTTAGTAGCAATTATAAATTTGAAACTAGTGCAGAACTATTTGATAGCAATGGCTTTCTTGCGGTCGGACAGAAATTATGTTCAGGGTAATGAACATCTTTTTTCATAATTGAAGATTATGTACTCAGTATAAAGATAATATGCATCAAAAAACCTACAAGACTTGACTGGAAAAATTATTATCTTACTGAGATTTTTTCAAGTCTCTTAGAAGGCCAGCTGAATTCCAGAAAGTGGAAAAATGCTACTATTATGCCAATACCCAAAACCAGTAAGCATATACAAGGCCTTGTGCACCAACAAGAAATTAAAGAAATTTTCAGATGTTGAATCTTCCCAAATTATTTTATGCAAGACACAACTTTGTAAGATACATTTGAGACAGTTAAGCATCTGCACTGAATCACAGTCAACAACACTAGGCAAATATGCTAGACAAAAAATGTCACTTCGTTTATGGCACTGAACCTTCTCTTTATGTTATATGTTGTATCCTATTCTTGAAATAAATTCGAATTATGTGGATTAGTAGACAGGGTAAAGCTTGACCTTAGTTCTGAATTCCTGTTGAGCTATTAATCCAAGACAACAAGAGGAGAAGTTGCTCTCATTTTCAACTCATGACACCAAGTTGCATACACAGTAGTATCTTGGATTGCTCTCACTCCTCTCTGTAGCAGCAATGCAGCTTGTTCTCTGCAGGAGATTAGCTTGTGATAAATGCTTGGATAATCATTCTGTTTGCTGTAGCAATTAGCTAATACCTTTGAAAGAATCCTTCTTGTTGATTGGAGGTGAGGATAGGATGAAATGTCTACATAGTTGTGGATGTCCCATCCCTGGAGGTGTTCAAGGCCAGGCTGGATGGGACTTTGAGCAACCTGATCTAGTGGGAGGTGTCCCTGCCCATGGCAGGGGGGTTGGAACTCGATGATCTTTAAGGTCCCTTCCAATCCAAACCATCCTATGATAATCAGCATTCTCCTAGTGGTATAATTATAAAATTGTGCCACAGCAGATTGGGTTCATTGCATTTAATTTCAGTAGTGAATAGGTTAGATGCCTGGTGAAGTCATCTAAACTTGATTTATTAGCTTGACCGTTTAATTTGACCTGTGCATTTAGTCATAATTCCTCCAAGAGCCTATGAAAATGGAAGGAAAACCACATCT